CACCTCCGGCCAGGGCACAGGGACCCTGGCCGACAAGCACCATTCCCTGCCGGGAGGGGTGGCTGCAGAGAGGCCCTGCAGAATAAAGAAAGGCATGATTCTGGGCTCCTCAAATTTAAAACCTCACAACAGAAAATGCAAGGATTGGTTTTCTCAGAAGACACCTGAGCTGGCAGAGATATGCGAGCCGGGGACCCCAAGGGCTCCGGGGGTTGCTTACCTCGCCCTCGCCCTCACTCTCTCTCTCTCTGTCGGTCTGCCCGCAGTGGGCCTATCAGGGTTACCTAGCGGGGTTACCTTAACCTTGTGGTCGCGGTAGGTGGTTGATCCCTTTTTAAGAGCAACACAGGAAGTTTGCTAAAGGCACAGAAATGATTTATTAATCTTTCAGCAAGCATGCATCACAAACACACAGAAACGCAGGCTTTCATTGCCTGAAAAGCGTGGGACAGCAGGCTCTGGCCCACCGGTTAGACTGGGCCCACAGCCTGTGGTTCCAGATTCTAGGGACAGACCATTTGCTGCCAGAAGGGTCAGTCCCATGGTCCCAACTCCCCGCCTGGCTCCATCAGGACCCCCATCATTGGCAGACAAGGACAGCACTGGGAGATGTTAATAGCCCCTACCTATGGGGTTCATGTTTGGGCTTGGTCAAGGTGTCTCCACCACACCCGGCCACAACCATCTCTTTGTATTCTGAGCCTGCCTCAGCCATATGCAGACCATTAACCCAGCATGCATTTAGGTCATTTCACCCTTTATCATCCTGCCCCTGCAAATGGGTGGAAAACATGGGGCAATTCCACTTTGAGTTCTCAATGTACCCCAGAGCCCTGGGACCTCACACGTGGCCTCCAGATGCAAGATGCTGGTTATGTCTGCTTCCAATCAAACCAAAGGGAAAGAGATCCTCAGGATGCCAGGGCAGGGCCATCCCTAGCTGAGCCCCACCAAAGTTCTGTTTGCTGGTATAGCTAGAATGAGTATCTCCCAGGAGCTCCGTTTCCTACCCCCAGGGAGACCCCAGTAAGCTCCCAGGGTAGCATCAGGATACAGAGTCTACACCATGTAAAGACAACACCAGCTGGTATTCTGAGCCCCATGTGGCAGATTGCAGGCTCATTTGTCACCCTGTTCCATGAGGGCTCTGGCAGGCTTGTGCCAGTGTGGAGGTGGGTGCCAAAGGTCCTATTTTACCACCTGTCCCCTGGGTGGAGCCCTTGGCTGGACCGTGAAAGCTGCCACGGTTTGGACCCATCCAGGCACTGTGTAGGAAGTCAGGATGGCATCAACCAGGGAACCAGGAAAAGACTCAACTAAAGAGAATGGTTGAACATTCACGGTGGTAAGGATGCTGGGGCTGAGATTAAGCAGGAACACCACTGGGCTTCTGCTCTTGGTGACAGTCATTCCTGCCTGGCTATGCTGGATCTGTGCCACCACTCTAAGGACCCACACACCTCAAAGATACAAGCCCAGGACTCCAGCCCTGCTCTTCATCCTTAGGGGCCTCTGCTGCCAAGTTCCAGCAGACTTTGGGTCTGAGAAGCAAGTATACTGGCTCAGTGCACATGTGTGTCTACGTGTGTGTGTGTGTGTGTGTGTGTGTGTGTGTGTTTCTATGTGTGTGTCTGTGTTTATGGTCCAGGGGAAGAGGGTTAAAAATCCTTAGTATGAACTTTTATATCATCAGCTGTTTCCTCCCAAAAGGGAAATGCACCAGGCCAGTGGGGACTCTGAGAGCCTGATTTAGGGGGCACCACAGCTGTGCTCACTCCCAAAGGAGTAGCTGCTTTTCTGAGAAAAGCAATGGACTCAGAGAGATGAGGGCAGACACGCACGATCCTCAGGTCACCCATTCAATATGGGAAGAAGACGGGCAAACACTGGCCACATGTGAATCACTCAGCCTGGCCCACTGGCCTGGCTCTTCTCCCCAGGCACGTACTTACAGCCTTATGCTTACACGGACTTTTTCTGAAGTACGTTCTACTCATTTTTCCCTCCCAACACTGCAGGCTGAGTTAGAAGGGGTTCCCAAGATCCCTTCCCACTGGGGATGCGGAGAAGGGGCCAGAAAGCATTTCACCAGGACAGATCCTGAGGAGTCACAGGGCTTAGCCCAGTGCTGCTGCTAGAGGACACCGATTCTGGAAAGCCCAGCCCCCATTTTTCAGAGCGGTCAAGAGACTTCCAAAACTACATTCTGCAAATTTTAAGAGTGAGCATCCAGTTTTTCTCCCTGGTGCACTAGGCTGTCCTTCTCCACGGACTTTCTAAGTGGCTGTGATCAGAAGTCTTGGAGGGATGTACCACTCTTTGCTAAGAACACAGGGGAAGTAAACAGATGCTGGGGAATGCCTTGGAAGCCACACAGCCAGGACAGCAGTATGACCTGTGACCGTGCACTCTCTACCACCTACTCTGGGCACAGACACTTCTGCCTGGAGCCCACCTGCCCTGCTCCACTCCCAGGGAGGCTTAGGCAGATCCTCTGGCCCAAAAGTGGAGGCTCAGTGTCTCATGTGCAGTAGAGCTGACAAGTCTTCTGGAGGGGCTGTGTTCGGGATCGCTGAGTGGTCCAGCCTGGCTGGGTACAGCACTCACAGTGCCTGTGCTGTCTCAGCTACTTAAGCCCATCACCCTCTCCCAGGCCCTGCTCTGGAGGCTGCAGGAGAACAGGTGCTGCTGATGGTGTGAGCCCAGGGACAGGAACACTGAAACTGACAGGTGGGCATTGCCTCCAGGACACCGATGGAGGCTGCTCAACTGCATAAAGTCATCACCTGCACCAGGTACTTACGTACTGCTGCTTCTTATCGGACAGCAATCTGGTCATCTCCTCCCTTTCCCTTTTAATTTCTTTCTCATCATAGTAAAATTCACGGACAGTGAACCTTAAAGCAAGCAAGCCAGGGCTGTTACTGAGAAGCTTCCAGGTGGGAGAGGGACTCCAGGGGCCACACTGGAGGAGCCCACAGGCCATATCCTTACTTGTTTTCTTTGGCTTTTCGTTTTGAAGTCATCGATCACTTTTCGAAAGAGAGTTACGGTGAAGAGGCCGCCCTCATTGTCCTCAGCAATCAATCTGTTGGGGAGACGATGCATTCATTGGGGACGATTGCCAGGGTCACCCTGAGCCAGGCCTCAAGCTGGACCTGGCCTCAGAGGGGCCCATCTTCTCCCCAGGAGGGACGGCTAAGCTGGGCTTCTCTGTCCCCTTGGCCTGGTGGACTATGCTTAGGGCCCTGGCAGTCACCATGAGCAGGAACCAAGGATGACCCTCATTGGTTCCTAGTTCCTACCCCTTCCACACAGCCCTCCAGGGATCTGCATGCTTAGGAGTGGCACAGGGTACAGCACCCAAGTTGTGTCAAGCCATCAAGTGACTGAGAGCTATCCCTCCTGCCCCTTGGTCCCAGCTGTTCCTCGCTCTGACAGTTATAATGCCACAGGTGGACTTGCAGGTGGCAGAAACTATCCACAAGGTCTCCATTTCACTCCCAATGTCATGCTTCAGCACAGGTCATTGAGGTCACCGTCCCCAACAATGCAGCACTAGTGGTTTAAGCATCTCTGAGTTCCATTAGCCAGAAGACCCTGAAACTAGGAGCTCTGGGGCCCAGGTATTTCTCAGGGCACTCTGGCTAGGTTACCTCTCCTGCTTTTCAGATCCCACACTCATAGCGGCCACCCCCTGCCTCCAGAATCAGGCCTGAGGCCTCTGGTCTGAGAGGCTGAGCCACTGCCCGTGGAGAACAGAGGGCAGAGCAGTGGTGGTGGCTGGGGCTGCTCTGCCTCCCCTGCGACCTCAGGCTGTGTCCTTCTGTTCTTTGCACCACTCTTGATGGCTATCTCCTGTGAGTTAGTGGCCCTGGGACAGCCACACTCCAAAGGGAGCAGGGAAGGGATGCTGTTCCTGATGGATGGCAGTCAGACAGCCTTCCCAGAAGAGGGAAGAGGAGTTTTGAAACATAAAAGCAGTCTGTGCATGTGTGTGATCAAGAAGTAAGTCCAGGCCAAGGGACACAGAGGGCACAGGTGTGGGGCCGGTGACCTCATACTCTGGGTATATGTTTGGTGGTCAGGTGCCTCAGAGTACCCCCTCAGGCCCCTCTGAGGATCCAGGGTCAAGCTGGGGTCTCACTTACTTAGTCGACCGAGGGACCACCATGTCGAGAGGGATTCGTAGGTCTTTCTGCCATTGTGCATAGCTTGGCCTGGGAAGACACAGAATCACTAAGTGTTTTTGGCAGCAAGGGCTTCTGGTGTCCTGAGGCTCAGGAAGCTGTCAACAGTAGGACATGGAGTCCCCAGCATTCTCCAAGGCCCTGCAGTGGTCCTGAGGAAACCCTGGCCCAGCCCCATCCGGGGCCCAGCCTGCCTGCAAGGGCTCCAGGGCTCCCACAAAGGTCTCCGCATGGAGAACTCAGCTACAGATATCTGTGCAGCTTACTGATATTTCTCATCCTGGCTGGTGACCTGGGGCCAGCTGATTGACCCCTCTGGCCTCAGGAGCAGAGGAATAACAACGCTCAGGCCTGTGGCAGGGATGACATATGTCCACGACTCATGGGGCACACAGCAGATGCCCCACAAATGGCTGCTTCTATCACTATCACCATCTCCTGTGCCCACAAAGACACAGCTGCTGTGCAGGTCTGTCAACCTGGGGCCAATGGAAGCAGAAGGGACCCATCTTCCTGTCTACCAACACCTCCCTCCACCTTCCTGGCTACGTACTTGGGGACAATGACCAGCAGAGTGATGAGATATTCTGAATCCAGCACGAAGTCTTCTTTGCTCACAATATCGCTCAATGTCCGAGTGAAGAGGTTGCCCCTGGAAGGCCGTGGAACACACAGTGTGACTGGCATGCTGACCCCACACTCCTGCAACACCTGGGACGGGGGCAGGACAGTCCCAGGGAGGTGGGGCCAGGGAGGAGGTGAGTCTCATACGTGACCATCCTCCCTGGCCCCATTTGGGCACCACAGCTGCTGCCTCCTCCCCTCAAGGACAGGGGAGTCTAGCAGGACCTCAGTCGCTATCACCAGTCACTCAAGGGGCTGCTGAATCCAACACCTCTGTGACCAGTGCTGCCACTGGCTGTTGGGAGGGGACCTCAGGTGACAGGCAGCTAAAGATACTCAAATGTCAACACGGCAGCCAGCTCTCGAAGCTGCATAGGCAGAGATAGGCCTGGATAGAGCTCCATGTCACCTTATAGGCCTCTCAGTCCAGCAGCCAAGGACACTCACCTGAAATGGCTTTATCCATGCCCAGTGGACCTGGCCTCGACGAAGGGCATGGCATTATTAGTTCATGGGTCAAGGTTGTCAGGGGATCAAATATAGCTGAAATAAGGTCATGCAGCTACCAGACTGCACGGAGCACTAACCCAGAGGCCACCACAGCTCAGGCTGTGGCATTAGCATGCCGCTCCCTTGCAAACGCTTCTTAAGCATACAGTCAGGGCCAGAGCTCTAAGGCAAGGAGAAAACACCACTCTTTAGAGGCTCCCCTTCCTTCTTTCCTGCCCTGCCTACACCATCTCAGTGCAGCCCTGTCCCTGTGGCCATAGGCAAGTCCATGGGACTCTCCCTCCAGAGGCACCCGAGGCACAGCCTCGCTGCCACAGCAGTAAACATACTCTCGTGTTATCTCTGTTTTACCTCTGTACTCCAGCTCAAAGCCTTTCCATACACGTTTGCTGATGAATAATTGTGACTCTGCAAGTGCAGGAGTTGTTTTTTTATTTTGCTTTACATCTTTAGGGCCTAGCACATGGTCTGAGGGCATAGTAGGTGCCTTTAAAAGTGCATACTGAAAGAAAGAAAGAAGTAACAGGGGCTGGGGGCACAGCTCAAGGGGTAGAGCACTTGCCTAGCAAGCACAAAGTCCTGAGCTCAAATCCCAATGCTGCCAAAAACAGTTACAGACTGTCATCACTCCTCTCTGTCCACTTTCCACCTTCACTCAGTGTCTGTGATCAGTAAAATCCAAGTGACAGCAAATCAGTGAAGAAGGAACTTCACCAGGTAAGCAAAGACATTGGACCCAATGTTCTCTTCAGGTCCTAACCAATTCTTTTTTTTTTTTATTGTATTTTTGTTGTTGTTAGACTGGGGTTTGACTCAGGGTTTTGCATTTGCAAAGCAGGTGCTCTATTACTTGAGCCATTCTCCAATTTTTGCTCTGGTTATTTTGATGAAGGGGGTCTTGTGAACTATTTGCTGGCCTCAAACTACCATCCTCCCCACCTGAGCCTTTCAAATAGCTAGTTTACAGGCATGAGCCACTGGAGCCCAGACTGACCAGTTCTTAAGAAGCCATGATTTGGTGGTGGGGTGAGCAAACGGCCCAGCACACTCTGGCCCCAAGGCCCATAGACTAGGGCCACAATTCAGAATTCAAGGCCACCGGCACCTGTCTTACTTCCATCCTCCATCGCTCATGTCCAGTTAGTTCTGATAGAAAGTCAGACAACAGCAAGGATGGTCAAGTGCATTTCACTCTTTGATTTTTAATTTTCAACTAACAGACTACGGCGTGTATATCCCTTTTCTGGAGTTTGTGGAACCAGAAGCATTCTGGATTTTGCATTGTTTGGGATTTTGGAATCCTTGCACATATATGATGACGCATCTTGGGGATGAGACCAAAGTCTAAACAGGACTTTGTTCACACAGACCTTACACACACAGCCTGAAACGCAGATACCATGTATCTCTGTTTTGGCTGTGAGCAGGCGTGGAATTTTCCACTTGTGGCACCATGATGACAAAATTACAGATTTTGGAGCATCTTGCATTTTGGATTTTCGTATTAGAGATGGCTGACCTATATTTCTTTTGCCACAAGAAGAGCTGACCCCTCACGAAACAGGAAGCATAATTAGAAGGTGACATTCTCTTGCTCACAGTAGTGAGCCAATCAGTATAGCAGCTGGTTCTGAGCTCTGGGCCACTTCCCTCTCTGAGTATCGTCAGACTCAGAACAGACGACCAGAGTCTGGGGACACTGGGTGGCTACTCTATGCCAACTTGGCCCTGTCTAGCAACATCCTCCAGCCTCCTGGAAGAAGCTCACCTGCTTCTTATGTACCTCCAACACCAGGGTACTCACTCCCTTCCTAAGACCATCCCTGTCCTGATAGCACTGAGCTTACACTTTTCTCCCAGTGGGCCCTTCCCCCTAGGTGTGGGTCTCTCTGCTGAGCTCAAGCAATCTGCTGCCTTTCCACATGGCTCAGGCAGACAGAGCAGGCACCTGAGAACCTGCCACTACTCTGGGCTGGAGTCCACCGTCCTCTCTTCCCTCTCAAAGGGCCAGGTTTTGACACCCTGGCCACTGCTGCTTCTGCAAGGCACTGTGTGCAGCCTTCATAGGGAAGAGCCTGAAGCAGCCTCCCAGGTAACCTGGTGGGGAGGTGGGGAGATGGAAGGAAAGGGATGAGAAGCAGCACTGTGCTCTTCTCTGGGCACAATGCCAGCGGGGCTCTGTCCCCTCCCTCATCTGCTCTGGTCCCAGCATGCAGCTGCCTGTCTGCCTCACTCTCCCTCCACACTTACTCAGGGTCCCCTGACAGGAGTGCACAGAGCTGTGTGGGCATGCAGTACGCACGTGGACTTCTTTTCCAGGTTCTCCAGGTTCATCTTCAGAGCACTGTAGGCAGCCGTACGGGACTTCAGGTCCATCTCTATCTGTGCCAATTGCTACATAGGAAAGAAAATGTTCTTGGTGCCCTTGGGTGTTGAAGGAGTTGGTTGAGCTTATCAAAATGGCCACCAAGTACTCATGGGGTACGTAAGAAAAACAGCCACCTGCTCACTTGCCATGGGGGTCCGATATTCTGCTCTCCCCAGTGTCCCAGCATCTGACCTTTACATCAGCCCATGTGTGGGGAGGCAGAAAGGGACAATACAGATGTGGAGGTCCGAGCCTCTGCGGCTTGCCAGTGTCACACACCCAGCTCCATTAGGAGCACACACTGAACCTCCAGGCATCTCGGGTCTCTCCACACGCAGCCCTCTCGGGCTCTGCTGAAGGCAGACAGTAACCCTGATTCTTGCTCTCTCTGGGAAGTACCCACCACAGCTCAGTCTCACAAGTGCCCACCTCTCAGGATCGGCTGTGCCCACTGTGGCCCTGTTCCTGCCTATGATTGCTGGGAGGCAGGTCACCGCTGGGATGTTTCAGGGAATCCCCTTGTTCTAGAGTTCCAGGGGTTAGTGAGCACATTCTGGTCCCAGCCCTGTGTCCCTCCCATGTGCTGGCCCAGGGCAAGTGGTATAGTGTGAAGAAGTAAGGAGCCTGGGCTCCCTACCTGCCAGAGGGGAGGTGACAACCTTCCCGAGGGCCCAAGAAGGGTCAGCCAAAGAGAAAGAAAATGCAAACAGGCCCCACTCATGGGAGGCCTTCCAAAGAACAGTGGTTGTCCCCATGATTATGGCAAACAAGCATTTTGAGGTCCCTGAAAGCAGAAATTCAGTGCCGCCATGAGCCCCTTCCACCTGGTGAGAACTGTCCATAATTTAAAGACAGTCACCAGCTGCCACCCTCCCAGGGATCACAGCAGAATTGGCTCTACAAGAACACATCACATTAGGGAACACTGTGGGAGGGTTGACACCCCAGGCGCCAGCACGCACAGCAGGGCAGCCTGCGCCACGATCCACACTAGATGAGAGCCGTGGGCCATCAGCAGGCTGTGCACAGCTCTGGGTTTAAATGTATAGATTTTACAAGTACTTGAGAGGATCCCGGTAAATATTAGACACTGGCCACCTTTAGAGAGAAAAAGGGAACAAGCGTCAGCTAACAGCAGTAGGAGCTGTTGGCATCCTTGTCTTTATGTTGTTTGGTTTCTTAAATGACTTTTTTTTTTTTTAGAATTTTAAAAACATTTATTTTGAAGTAACTAGTGATTCACAAGAAGTTGCAAAAGCACTGCACAAGGTTCCCATGACCTCTTCATACACCTCGCACCACTCACGGTGACTTCTTTTTTTATTGTTTTATTTTGGTTTTTTGGCAACACTGGGGTTTGAACTCAAGGCCTCACACTTGCTAGGCAGGCGCTCTACCCCTTGAGTCACTCTGCCAGCAACACTGATGACTTCTAATGGTACTACACCACGCTTACCCCATGGCTACACCTTACTCTGTACAACCACACACACTGCACTCACCGTCCAGCTACACTGTACAATGACACCGTACTGCACCATGCAAATGTGACACACGCCTACAACATGACACTCCACTCCACTCTAAAGCTACACTGCACAGATACAATCCACAGATCTTGCTTTTTCTTCCTTTCTTTTTTGGTGGCACTGGGGTTTGAACTCAGGGTCTCACTCTTGCCAGGCAGGCACTCTTACTGCTTGAGCCACTCCATCAGCCCAGATCTTGCTTTTTCAATAAGACTTGTATCTTTTTTTAAAAAGAAAGTGGTCCGATGGATGTGGCTCGGTGGTAGAGCACTTGCCTAGCATGAAAGAGGCTGTGGGTTTGACCCCCAGCACTATATACACAGAGACAGAAGTAAAATAAGAAAACAATAACAAAAATTAGTGCACATCCTTATTTACTGATTTCACAAGTCAATGAAAAGCTGCTGAGAGGTAGTAAAACAGTGGGAGGAAGTAGGGTTTTGGACCAGTGAGGCCCTGATAACCACCAGTTCCAACTCATACTGGCTGTGTGGCCTGATCTAAGCTCTTTGACCTCTCTGAATGCTGCTCCACAGAATTATGGTGAGGTGGCCCAGGGAGTATATGTCTTGTTTACAGATTGCAACCTCTGTTGAAAGAACAGGCGAGCTGGGGCTGCCACAGGTGTCCCTGGAGCAGGATAGACTGAGGGGCCAGCACTGCCTCTGAGTTGGCCCCCTGTGGGAGAGACATCCCCACTTCCCCAGGAAGCCCTGCCCTGCTCACAGCACAGCTCATGATTTTGGCCCCTTCACACCTGCTTTCCAGAACCCTGGCCCCCCACTGAACCCCCAGCTACTTCCTCACTCAAAGTCAGAGGAGACTGACACTCACTTCCAGAGCCCGCCTGGCCCCCAGGGGACACTGTCCAAACCCTGTCCTCTGGGCTGGTGCAGTCACTCAAGTAGGAGAGCATCTGCCTAGCAAGCATGAGGCCCTGAGTTCAAACCTCAGTGCCACACACCCACACACACAAAAACACCCTGCCCTCTGCCACCCTCCCTGCCATTCTGCTGAAGTCACTTTTTGGCACCTGGAACTGGAGAGAAGCCAGGTCTCTGCTACAACTCTGCTGTGCACACCCTGTGTGCTCCAGGGGGCCTCACCACTGGTGCTTGGGCCTCAGAGAATCCTGAGGTGGCACTGGGAAGGGCAGGACAGGTCATGGTCAACCTCACAAACAGCAGTGTGCTCTGGCTCCATGATGGACTCGCACAGCACCCCGCTGGAAGCCACTTCTGGCACAGGTACCCCGGACAGCCCCTCCTTGGAGGGCCTTCCAGAATCTACCTGATTATCTCAGGACGGGCTGGCATCTTGTGTGTCCACAGGAGTAGCCAGCTTCCCAGCCTCACCTGCTCCCAGAGACTGGCAGGTAAGGGACCCTGTGGCCACTCTCCAACCCTGACCTACCCACCACACTCAGGGAGCCTCAGCTTCTCCAGCTTTGTTCCTGGACAGGCTGAGACTCTTCAACCACAGGGGCCAGCAGAAGACACGATACATTAGTGACTCCATGTGCAGTGGCAGGTAGAAAGGACAGGCCATCAGAAATGGCCAGCACTCACCCATGGTAGACACGCAGGAGTTATCTGCTCACCATCCACAATGTGTTTTGGTACCTGTATTTCATCGAGTTCTAGCTAGAGGCCACAGCTTAGCAGACAGCAGCCTGTCACAGGCACTGTTGTCATAGGTAGCCCAGAGGTGAATCGTGCAATGTTTCTGAGAGCTCCTAAGTGGTTTTTGCATGTAAATAATCGTCTAGGGGGCTGGAGGTGTCAGATCCCTGATGCTACTGGGGGGCAATAAGCTTCCCCATCAGTAACTTTTGAGAAAAGTGTGTGTTAGGGGAGCAAGCGGATGGGCAGTGGGGTCTGGCTCAGAAACCGGTGACTCGGGACCATCCAGTGGACTCTGGGTAATGGGGATTTGGAGGACTGTCTCCCTTAGCTGTCATCTTGCTCAGGGCACAGGAGGCCACACCTCAGATGCCCAGAGACCCAATCAAGGCTGGCTGGCTGGGATCCTACCCAGGGTCACTGGGCAGGGCTAGAAGCCCAGCCTCTTGCCTCTCTGTCTCTCCAGAACCAAACAGCATGCAGGTCTGTCTCTGACAGTCAGACGTCCCAGAAAGCTCATCTCACCTTTGCAAGTGTGTCCACCACGCTCACCAGCGGCTGCTTTGCAGGGTATTTCGCCATGTCCCATTCAAAGTGAGTCACAAAGGATGTCAAGTCGACTGGAAGAACACAAACCCAGTTCAACAGGTGGACACAGTTCTCCTCATCTCCCAAGAGCAAGCCCAGAGCTGCAAACACTCCCCTCAGAACACTTCAGAGTTCTGAGCCAGTGAGTAGGGCAGAGCCCTAAACCCCTCTAAGACTCCCCACAGCCAGCAGCCCAGAGAAGGGCACTGCAACCGCTGTACTTCTGTGGCTGCTGCACCAGCACCACTCCAGAGGTGGAAGCCAAGTCACGACATTCCAAGGGGCTCTAGTAGCTTCTCTGCGTTCTCCAGCTGCTTGAGCTTCTCTCTGCCACCCCCCACCTCAGGGTAGCATTACTTTTTTGAGGTACGCCAACAGCACACCAGAGAGCATCAAACCATGAAGCCCTGAAAAGCCACACAGCCCATGGCCTGTCACGGTGACACCTGCTTTTGGGACAAGCATCTCCCTGCCTCCTGAATCCCAGGAGGAGACAAGGTCATTTCAACCTCCACTGTCCCTTTCATCTAGTTGCTGGAGTTGGCCTGTGATGGGGGCTTTTCTACCTGGAACAAAGGCGCATCTTCCAGTGTGTGCCCTTTAAAGTCCAGTGTTTTCATAAAACCTGGTTTTCCTTTTCTTCTTCCCGAAGCAAGCCCAACCTGCTACCTGCAAGGTGGTTCTGAGCCACTGTAACCAGCTGTAGGATTGGGGTGAGCCCTGGAATTGAGGCCAAATGCCACACTGATTTAGCCTGGCAGGCACAGAGCCCTGGGTCTCAGGCAAGGCCGGAACTAAGTCAGTTTTCCTGCCTTAGAACTGGGGCAGTTCCAGTGCCTACTCTCTTCAGAGACGTTCTATGTTCAGGTAGAGAACATTGAGGCCTAACCTAGCACGTTACTTCTTTCTTTTTCTTATATTTTGTTTTTGAGACTGGGTCTCTCTATATTGCCCAGACTGACCTCAAATTCCTGGCCTAAAGTGATCCTTCTGCCTCAACCTCCCGAGTAGCTGGAACCACAGGTACCTACCACTGTACCTGGCTGGCTCATTACCTCTCTTTAACATCTGCCCTGTGGCAAAATAGGAAACCTGGTATGAGTTGCAGAATTACAGAGGCCCCTGGAAATCCCCCTAAACTATCGAGCCAGCCCTTCCTATCTGGGATTTCTCGCCACAGGTTGTGTACATGCCTGTGCTTCCCAGAACATAGATGTGCACATGGAAAGGGACTGTCATTGCTCTCTTGATATGCAGACACCCTTCCCGTCCACCCTCACGTGCTCATGGCGTGCAGGGACTGCACCACCAAGCAGTGAGTTGTTGCCAGAGTGTAGGCAGCAGGAGGATGGGAGGGGGCTCCAACCAGGACCACACAGACTCACACAGAAGCTGAAGGGCAGAGGCATGGTGGATGGCTGTGAGGGAGGGTGTTGGTGTCAGGAGGACTGGTGACCTCATGAGGGGCAGGAGGAGTCTCTGTGTAAGGCTGATGGAGCAGAGAGGTGGATGGGGACGGGACAGGAGCACAGTCAGGACTGGACAGAAGATCATGTCTGCATCTGCCCATGGCGACACTGGGTCCCATGCACACAGCCCCTGTTGTGTGCCAAGAGTTGGTCACGGAGCTCTTTCCCTCAGACAGCAGTGTCAAACAGGGTCACCACACAAGCCTCCAGGAGGCTGCATCACCAGCCAGCCATGGAGGAGCAGGCTGGGGACAAAAGCACACTGGGAGACTCCTCTGTGTTGGGAACACAGAAGCCAGATGTACTCCACCAAGGGTGTGGGAGAAGGAGGCAAAGCCTAGAGTGGCCAGAGAAGCCCGGGGCAAAACAAAGAGCAGACCCTTTCAACAGCATGCAAGGCTAATGACACACAGGGCGCCATGAAGGCCAGGTGACACCCAGGTTCCTAGGTTGGATGACTAGGTGGAAGGAGAGACGTGCACTAAGCCAGGCGGCCACAGAGGCAGGGGTAGGAATGGAGTAGAGTAGAGAGGGGATGAGTTCAGCTTGGGGCAGGCTCGGGTTTGGTATGTGGGTACACAAGACCCCAAGAAGCAGATGGAAACCAAAGGGGACTCAGGAGAGAACTAGCCTGGTAATAGCACTGTTGGCACTTGAGAGAGAGGAAATACCTCAACAGAGATGAGTGACAATGCCAACCATTGAAGTAGGTGACATGTCCTGATGACTTCCCTGGGGCCAGGACATATGACTCATCTCACTTAATGGATTCTTTAATCCTATTAAGTATATTACTATCTCCATGAGGAAACTCCAGCACAAAGCAAGTTACGTAAGCTCCATCAGGACGGGAGAAAACGCACATGGAGGACACCACACCCTGCCTGACACACAGGGGAGCTTGGTTCCTTTTCCTGCTGTGTCCACTATCAGGGCACAGCTACACTACAGGTGACAGAGGGAGCTGAGCTGTCCCCTTCACAAGAACTCAGATACTTTCTAGATCATCTGAACTTGGAAGACGTCCTAGGGAAAATTCATATTGTACATTTACACCTTAGCCTGTTGACAAGAGAACCTCTAGGGTGCTAGGGGTGGGGCCCTCATCTGATAGGATCTGAGTTCTCAAAAGGCAGTGGCTCACACCTGCAATCCTAGCTACTCAGGAGGCAGAGATCAGGAGGATCGCAGTTCAAAGCCAGCCTGGGCAAAAAGTTTACACACGAGACCTTATCTCGAAAAACCCATCACAAAAAAGGGCTGGTGGAGTGACTCAAGGTGAAGGCCCTGAATTCAAGCCCTAGTACCACAAAAAAAAAAAAAAAACCAGGGACATCAGAGTTCCATCCATGCTCGCTCTCCCCCAAAGAAAGGTCATGTGAGTACACAATGCAAAGGTAGCCATCTACAAGCCAGGCAAGCAGCCCTCACCAGAATGGAATTGGCTGGACACATGATCTTAAACTTCCAGCCTCCAGAACTCTGAGGAAATAAATGTCTGCTGTTGAAGCTGCCCAGTGTATAGAATTTTGCAATGGCAGTCCAAGTGGAGTGATAGATTTTGGAGCTAGTACAGATTCCGGCACTGCACACCAGGGCAGGGGAGTGTGGACAGAGGCCAAGCAGGACAGTCCTGAAGGGCCCCTCCCACAGCAGCAGTGGCGACTGATCCCGTGGTGGAGAACAGCTGCACGATGGGTGGCCCAGCAGCGGTCCAAGACAGATGTCAGGCAGATGTGTTACTTTGCCCACTTCTCATCACCTCCAGCATCTCGGAACCCTCCACCCAGCCACAGTCCTGCTCAGCTCCTCTCCCTCTCCCACTGCTGCTTTCATCCTTCAGTACTCAGGTCACAGTGGACCAACTCCTTCCAGAAACTGCCCTGAATGACCCCCTGCTGATCTGAGCTCAAGGACACTAATGGCATTGGGTGTTGCATGGCTACCCTGTGCCTCCAGTTCTCCAGCTCCTTAGGGGCAGAGTCTGTGACTGACTTGTCTCTGTCTCCAGAGCCTGTCAACATACCCCCCACAGAGCAAGTACACCACGGAATGCTCACAGTACTGTCAGCAAAGCTCCTCCCAGCCATGGTGGCCACGTTAACTCTCACTCTGCCTAGAAGAGTCACATTTCAGGTCAGGCCCTTGTCTCTATGCCATGTCACCAAGGTCATCACGGTTTTTACTCCAGGGAGGGTAAGCTCCATCTCAGCACATAGGGCACTGTGAAGCTGTGAACTCTCAGAGACAGAGGCTGTGCTTCTAGGCTGGGTCAATTTTCTCTGAGCACCCAGCATGCACTTGGTTCTGACAGATCTGCAAGAGCATCCAAGAGGCTGTTAGACAAGGACCTTGAGAGACTCCCAGGTTTACAACTGTGACCTCCTCTTCCTTCCTGTACCGTGTCCCTAACACCAGGGGAGCTGGGATACTGACCCTTGCCCCAGGTCACATATCCAACGTCCCTGCCTGTCCACACACACTGCTTTGGGCGAGAACATTCTAGGCCTTCCTGTACTTCCACAAAGCTTTGTCGCCTCTGCTTGGAAAAGGAGGCCTGGCATCCTCTCCCTAGATTTCAGTCATCAAAGCCAGTCCTCGGAGGGAGCAAGGCAGGGTCTGACCTGTGAGGTCAGACCATGGCCTGGGCAGGATTGCTCTGCATCATCACACACTGTACACAAGCCGCCACATCTCAAGCAACAATGGCCTATCTAGACATCAGCACAAGGCCTTGCCAGCACACTGGACTGTGACCGCACAGGCTGTGACCGCACAGGCTGTGACCCATAGCGCCCAAGGCAGACAACAGATGTTTGCTCTGCCTTTGCTGCACTCACACTTGTCTCTGTCTTTGTCAGCTGGAGGCAGACAAACAAAAACAAAAGGTGCACAGGCAAATCAAAGAACCTATAATGTGAGTGTTATTAAGTCCACTTGCAAGCGAGAAAACTGAAGCCCAGAGGTGACCTGTCCAGGTGAAGATTCACATTATTCAGCAGGAGGAGGTCTGACTGGATGCTGGATCCCAGTGGTGATGGTGCTCTAATTCCCTGAGGAGAGAGGAGTAAAATCCCACCTGAGGGCAGCAATTAGCTCTTCTAGTTAATTCTATCGCTAATTTGTGGGTGCCCTGCAGAAAAAGAGGTCCTCATTTAGACAATTTGGGAAAACCCATGTCAGATGAAGGACTTTGCAGAGTCATTAATGCTAATATTTATCAACCACTAGGCTCAGAAGCTGCTGTAGGGCCTGCCCTTCCATCCCGGCCTTTTGGCAGGGATGCTTTTCAGAGCATGCTTCAGAAACTCTAATCTTGGAAGTTGATGGGCTCCAACTCATAGAGGCCTTGCAGGAGTCCTAAATGAGCAAGCAAAGCTGGGTTTCCTGCTGAGAAGAAAGCCCCTGTCTCTTAGAGTTGGTGCCATCTGGACTGGGCTGAATGCTAGTAGTAAGATGAACCAAGTCATCTCGTTTGGTTTTCATTTTGTTGCAGTGCTGGGAACAGAACCCAGGACCTTGTGTTCTGCCAGTGAGCCCCATCCCCAGTCCTAGAACGTAAGTATTTCGACCACGATTTTAATGTCACCTTAAATCCTCACAGTCTGAAGAGCAGTTTTTTATGTAGAAGAGTGGCTCTACCTTAAGCAGCTTTTTAGCAGACATCCCAATGAATCACCTGCTGAATCTTTGGTTGTCAACATGACAAACTATTCTTTTCTTACCATCAACAAGAAATAGTGGAGCAAACAGATTGCATTTTGGAAGGCAATTAGTAACTTTCAATCTGTAAAGATTTTTATTTGCTCTGTCGCAGGTTTTGGGAGAAAGCCCAAAGCAAATGGCTCTTTTTAACAATCACACCAGAGTGTCTTGTTTGGGCACTGCCCCAGGAGTCTCCTGGTACCTGTGAACCTCATAAGAGGCCACACGAAGCAAACCTGGCATCTAACCTGCCCGTGTTGGTCAAGCGGATAGCCTCATAAAGCAGGAAGCGGGATGCCAGGGACAGGCATCAAAGCCAAGAGCAGAACACAAACAAGAAGATGAAGTTCACCTTGAACCTCACAGAGTCAACACATTCCCAGCTGTCCAGGTGGCAGGCAAAGCTGCTCCGGAGAGACAGTGACAGGAGAAAGAGGAGGACAGGAAGGCAACAGTTGTTCTCTGTGTCATAGGGATATCGTGACCAAGCTACAAGGTCGTTATGGGAGCAATTGTAGTGACCCGATCACTATGTCCCTATAACCAGACCGAGATTCCACCTCCCCAGGGACATGCGGACATCACGCTGAGCACAGGCACGGCAAACAACGCACAACCTACTCTTTAAACATTTCATTTTTTCCTTCAAACCTGAAATATAATAAGGTGAAATTATTAAACCACAAAGACATACAAAGCCAAGCTCAGATCTGAGAGAAGGAACATTTCCCTTTGTCAATTTAAAACAGTAAATAAAAACAGTCTTTTAATGTTTCCAGGAGGGTCTGCTTGTAACAAAAGATATAAACGTTAAGTATGTACGTCCTCATTTTCAACAAATACGCATAGTCACACGCGTTTAGTTATCACCGTGGATAACATTTAATTCTAGCATTTCTAAAGTCTCCAGGGTTTGTCTTGCACATTTTAAATGCACTCAACTAGCATGTACACCATTCATGGGCAAAACATTGGTGGAGTCTAAAGATTTAGTCCATCAGCACAGGGGAATGGAATATTCTACTGCAGGAAGAGGTTTGGGTCTTTGTTAGGCAGCAACTAAAGCCTCGGAGGCATTGCTCTTCACATGGAGCCATATTGCACACCTTGTTTGGGGAAAGGGATGAGTGAGCTGGAATGGGTGGGTGGGATTTTCCAAGTGTGGGATGGTGGAGGTCAACGAGAAGGAATCCTGATCACTTTAAATTTCACTGAGTTCAGGATAAGAAACACCATACATCCTAGAAAGGAGGAAGGCAAGCTATGAGTAGAGGAAGGGGCCTGTCTGCCAAACTCTGCTGTACGGTTGTGCTGATGGTGGGGTGCAGGGCCCTCAGAAAGTATTCTGAGCTTCTACTGAGGCCCAGGACATTCCTGTAACTACTGTGGCCACAGCCAGACTTCCACGCCTGAGAAATAAGACGCACTCAGGGACCTACCTCCGTTAGCCAGGAGGTTCTCATGGACTTTCCCCTTGGAGTCCTCCATGACGTCCACCACGCTCTGTGCCATTCTCCTTATGAGGCTTTGGGGAGAGAAGAAAGCAGCAATGAGGGTGGGAAGCTGCCTGCAGGCCACTCGTGTACGCTGCTGGCAAGAAATGCAGCCGTGGGCCTTTGGGGCAGTAACTTGTCAATCTGTAAGAAGAGACTGACAATGTTACGAACCTTTGAACCAGTAATTCCACTTCTGGGAAACCATCTTAAGGAAACAGGAAACACAGAAAAAGCCTTCTGAATAGAAAGATATTCTTTACAGCATTACCGCTGACAATAAAAAACTGGAAACCACCAGCAGCTTCAACAACAGGGACTTGTTTACATGAGTGATGGTCTACCCAGCTGAAGGATTGTTAGGCAGCCACTGAAAAAAAGATTTACAAGGAATTTCAAATGCCATGGAACAAGGCATGTATTACCATGTCAGGTGGAAAAAACCAGGACAGAAACCTACCCAGACAATAGGGTCGCGGGCTGTAGTACCTGCAATGGTCTTCCTACTTGACATTTTTTTCTATTATAATCTGGTATTGCTTTTAAAATTAGAAAATTGGTTATGGTCTCCATAACAAATACTGAAGGCTTCAGAAAGGAAAGAAAGTGCAGGATTTGGAAGCAGAAGGGTTCAAATTCACCACGGCTCTGCCAACTACCAAGAGTATGATATTAGCTAAATTGATTTAATTTCTTTGAGTCTCAGTTCTCTCATTTACTAAATGTGTGTTATATACCATCCACAGGACTGTTATTAACACTGATATAACTAACTAGGAACTGGTCACCTCATAGCAGGAGGCCGATCAAATAGAAATCCACGAGAATCCAGTCTAAAGTTTCTGATGGTGCAGAGCTTTGCCTCTCTCCATGGGGCATGGGGGGTAGTAGTGCTGATGGTATTTGAAGTGAGAGTGGACCCAGGTCACCGAATCCCAGATGGAACACAAGGTCCTCCACTGTGTGCAGAGCCTTGGGTGGGCCTGACACAGAAACTGAGGCAGGAACAAGAAGGGATGAAGGCGGAATGATAGTAACTTGTATTCCTGACTCTCGACACCCATGGTCGGAGACTGCAATGCAGCTTAGTGATAGAACACTTTCCTGGAATATGCGAGGCCTGGGTTCCAGCTCTAGCACCACCAGGAAAACAAAAATCCACTATACCTCACCAGAGAGGAAATTTCCTAAGATCCGGACCCATTTCTAAAGGCTTGACATCTGCATGGGGTATGTGAGTTAAGGCCTCTTTTTGATAGCACCTATCACCTGGTGATAGGGTCTACCAAGTATCAAACCCTCTGTAGCCATGACCTCATTTAATTCTTACAAAAATCCCGAAGGGGAGGTATTACCCCAATTTATCAGGTCCCAAGAAGTAATTTGCCCCCAACCTTCCAGTCTGTTTGTGGGCTTCAAAGGCAAGACTTTTGGCCACCTAGTCACACTGCCACCTGGACAGTCACTGTGGCCCGCCCTGTTGAAATTTCTACCAATGACCAATGGGCTAGCATCTCTTAGAACGGTAGTTAACAGTGCCTCACTGATGATAGCCTTGGCCAAGTCACACAACTTATCTCAGTCTCCTGAGCCACAGATGGGGGATAACATAACTTATCTTGCAGGGTTCTTTGCGGACTTTAACACAATGCTTTGCAAAGCATGGAGTCTCCAGGCGCTGGAGAGGGACCTAGAGAGGTGCTCCAGGGGACGTGGGAAGACTGCTTTGGGCTCTCTACTCTCTGCGTTCCACAGAGATTCTGCAGATCAAAAAGAGTCAGAGTCCAATTTCCTCCAGCTGGAGTAGCCTCAGTCCTCACCTGCTCCAGCCTTGAGCTGTGAGATTGTGGATCTCAGCCTGGTCCTTGCACTATTCCCTTGGCTGTCCTACAGCCCCACACAGCTCTGGGTCTCTCTGTACATAGACCTTCTCAGATTGTCTTAGTATGAGCTGTTGGAACCCTGACTCAATAAATCCATTCATCCATCCATTCATTGAGCAAATTTCATATGTTAAGCAACTTCTGTGTGCCAAGCGCTGCTCTACATACTGTGAACAAAACAAAGTCCCTGCTGTCATGCAACTTCTGTTTCAGTGCTGTCAACGGTTTCCTCTTTTATCACTCGAGTGCCACATGCAAGGCTGTCTCCTATTACATGCCCAGGGTGACGGTCTGTTTGCATGATGTTGGTAGTAACTCCACCCCGACCACAGTGCCTGAACACAGTAGCTGCTCAGTAATGCGTGTCAAGTGAATAAGTGAGCCCCACACTTCACGGCACCTAACATCACACATATGCTCACTTCTTCCCTCACAAAGCTAAAAACAGAGGTCACCCATCATTTTATTAATGAGTCTTTGCTGTCCCCTGTCCGATCCTCTTATGAAATTTTTCCCTATAGCAAATGTAGCCCTTAGGCACGTACATTACAGCTGGACATCTCAGAATAACACGCTCTGATGAAGCTTAGTTGCTAGAAAAACAGCTTAGCTATGATCCTTAACTACGGCCACCAGTGAATTATGGTATTACCAAACCAGGACATTTTTTTCTCATTAAAAGAAACCTAAGGGTCATGATGCTGTTTTAATCTTCTGTCCCCCTTAAATTCCACTGTGCACACCTGACTATAAGTTAGAGCATCCTCGTTCCTTTCACAGGCTGCACAGTATTTCATTGCATGACTGCCAGAACTAAGTCCTCACTACTAGATCTTTGGGTTGTTTTCCTCTTTGATAGGATGTTGCAATAGTACATGTGTTTTTCCCACTTGTACAGATGTATATGTAGAAAAAAAGCTATAAAAGAGCAACTACTGGAATAAAAGGTATGAACTTTTATAATTTTAACAAGGGAGGCCAAACTACCTTCCAAACATACAGAGCCAGTCCCACCAGCAAGGTATGAACAACACCTGCTTCCCTAAACCCTGGCCAACACAAGCCTCAGGAATCTTTTTTATCCCTGCCAATCTGATAGCTGGAAACCTGCATCTCATGATTGCTCTGATTTGCATTTCTGTATCATCAGTGAGGTTGGATGGACCTTTTCTCCCATGTTGATTGACTCTATGAAAGGCTGTCTTCTTCTTCTGTGAATAACACTTGCATAGCCTCTGTCAGATTGGAGGTGGGGCTGGCTCCTTGCTTTCTAAATTTTATTTTGTTGGTTTCTATGAGCTCTGAGGGGTGTTGGAGACTCGATCCTTGAGACAATGTTTTGAGCTAGGTGACATCACCATTAAATTAAGACTTAGAGAGCTGAAGGTCACCGTGTCACTGAACAAATGTCAAAGCAGAAACTGATTGTGAATCTGCACACCCCGATGGCACCTTTTTCCAAAACACCTGACAAAAATGAGTTGCAGAGAAGAGGTTCAGATCATATTATCAGTGAGAAACAACTGCAGACGATACAAAAAGATTGAGTTAACATAGATGTGCGCATGTGTCTAAACCCATAAACCTGCACCCCTTAACGCGTGAATATTTCACTGTGTATAACTTGACCTTGTTGAAAACAAGTTTGTAAGCAGACACTACCTTAGTCAGATGACCAAAGTCAACATCACCCACTCTAGGAAAGGTCAGCCATGTGCTCTGGATAGGATGCACTGAGCCCAACACAGCAGCTCTGCTATAGGGCTCTTACCAAAAAAAAATCCGATGTCAACCTGGGTATGGCGGTGCAGGCCTGCCACCCCAGCAGCTGGGAGGCTGAGGCAGGAAGATCCTGCATTCATGACCAGCCTGGGCTACATGGCAAGAAATAAATATTTTAAACATCAACCATGACGATTATTCTAAGGATGAGACCTGTTCATGTAGTTCAAGGTAGATGCTAGAATCTCCCCCAGTTCAACACTGGCAGCATTAAAGATAAGAAACCTGATAAAACGCTCGGTCTCCAGGTTCAGAGGAGAGTGACGCGTGGCCCACTAACAGTAGGGGAAGGCTCAGCCTCGCTTGCTCCAAATCCCACTTTTCACTGGGGAGATGAGCATGGTGAAAAGAGTCTTAATTTACAGCCTTGGCAAGTCCGGGAGAAACGGGGTCGCCATGCACTGTTGACCCTGGTGTTGACTGGTTCGTACTCAGCAGAGTATTTTCAGATCTACCAAACATTTTAATGAACGAATGTCATTGTCGTTCTGCCACACTGGCTCAAGGGCTCAAAGCCTGGGACAGAATGGCTTGTAAAAGCCATCTTGTCATCACCAACAGGGAAGCCACATAGCTAAGGAGAACAAGGTGCCAGGCGTCGGTGGCTCATACCTGCGATCCTAGCTACCTGGGAGGTTGAGATTAGAGGATTGAGGCTCGAGCCCAGCCCGAGCAAATAATTTGAAAGACCCCATCTTCAATAACCAGAGCAAAATGGAGGAGTGGCTCAAAGGATATAGCACCTGTGTTGGATGTGCACAGCCCTGAGTTCAAACCCAGTACCACTGAGAGACAAACAGAGAGAGAGAGAGAGAGAGAGAGAGAGAGAGAATGAGAAAGGTTGTCACAAAGCTTGTGGACCATAGAACAGAGGGGAAGAACAAGTCATAAATGGGGTCTTTTTTTGTAAAAAAATCAAGTCAAAATGCCTGTTGTATATTCAGCAAAAGTTTGGAACAATTGACACTACATTGTCAAATTGGTGTCCTTTGGGGAGTGAGATTGCAAAGGAGGGTCAAATTTAGGGTCGGTTAAAAACAAAAAGCCAAGGGGACGGGGGGAAAGGGGCAGAAATGACCCAATCATTGTATGCACATATGAATAAAGGAAATAAAATAAATAAATAAAAAGCTAAGCCGGGAGTGATGACTCAAACCTGTAATTCTAGCTCCTTGGAAGGCTGACACCTAGAGGATTGCAGTTCGAGGCCAGTACAAGCAAAAAAAAGTTTAAGAGATCCCATCTTGCCAGAAGAAGCTGGGCATGGTGGCATGCACCTGTCATTTGAGCTTCAGCAGGAAGTGCAAAATAAGAGGGTCACAGTCCAGGGCTGACCTGGGTAAAAAAGAGACCCTACCTCCAAAATA